ATAAATTGATATTAACTGTATTTTCTACTAGAGGTAACACATCTTGTTATAGTAAAAACTAAAAAGGTAATGAGAAAAGGTAATGGTAACGGATGCTCTTATAGTTATCTAAAATTAATTAATTTTTAGTAAATTAACCATCTCATAAAAAAAATATTTCTATATTTTACTCAAAATTATAATTATACTATTAGTTATTAATTATAATTTCGAAAATATTTTAGTCGATATATTTTTACATAATAGATAACATATTTTTATGTTTTAATCTGCATAAAAAAAAAAGATACATACAATCTGAACAAATAAAGTATCATTCTTTTCATCCCGAATTTTTTCACTATTTCGGCATAAAAATTAGCTCCCGACCTAAAAGTCCCAATCAAGAGCGTTGAATGGTGGCTTCGGGACCACTCGATGGTAGCTCTCAAAAGTATGTATGATAATCGAGAGAATATCGTATCAATATTTATTTATATTATATCTAATAATTATTTTAATTTAAAGTTTACTATTTTCAACCCAAAACCAACTCCTAAACCTACAAACCAAAGATATTTTAAGTGTTAAATGTTGGCTTCAGACCACTCTGACACGAGATCACAAAAGTACGTTATGAAAATAATGTTTGATGGGATATTTTGTAAGAAAAAAAAAAATATTTTTTTTCGAAAAACGCAAAATTTTAATAGTACAATCTGAAAAAAATTGTGGTAAAAAAACATACTCATATGTTTATATAATTTTTACTTGTATATTGTAGAATATTAATATTTTATACGTATATATAGTATAATAAAAGAATAGACATATGATTTTATCTTTATGGATGTTTTATAATATACTTAAATAATGTTGATTACATTATTATAAGAATAAGTAACATATAGTTTTTATATTTTCTTTATTATTTATGGACTCCACAATTACTTTAAAAAATAAATAAATAAATGCATGGATCAAAGTAATAAAATGAATCAAGTAATTAAGTCCAAATAATAGCTGTAAAGGCTTTTTATAAGCCCAATATGACATACAAAAGCATACAAGAATACATACATGTAAAATGTTTAGGTACGTATGATTTGTTTAATGTGATTTATTTTGTCGAATTTAATTTGCAAATTATTAAATTCGATCAAAATTTATTTAAAATGCATTCAAAAAATAACGATCGTATATTCCCACGTGATACAAAAGAATAACCCTATTGAATAACCCTATCCACTATAGCTTCACTTATTCATTTTCTTTTCTAACTATAACAAAAAAAGACAATAATTTTCTAGGTGAAAAATAGTGACACTATGAATATTGTCATTACTGATAAAACACTATTCAAACCATTTTCATAAAATTTTTAAATGTAATTTTATTTATTTATATTTGATGATTCGAGAATTGCAATCACTATTCCAGGTAAATTTTTAATTAAACTTAGTAGCCTGTAAACCAAGCTTGGTAAGACAGTCACACTAGACGAACTATGTGCGACAGATAAGATCTGGAGATGTCGAAAGTTTGAATCCATAACCTCACGGTCTCGACTTTATCCTGACAGTATCAGACCATTCATTACTGAACTTATTTTTGTAGGGCAAGTTGTGTCCTTTATAAGCCATTCGGCCAACAACATATTGTAGAAAATGCTTTTTCGTCTAGTAAAATTATGGAGATTTAGTTGAATACAAAAAATTTAAAAATAAATTTTGATTTTTTTATTTGAAAGAATATTTGAAAAAATTATATAGAAAATTACAATTAGTTTTAACGTATAAAAATAAAATTTTTATTGTGGCAATTCCATTTGTTTTATATATCTTTGCATATAATGCTTGTGTAAATATCATTATGTTATATTACAAGTGAAATAAGTTTCTTTATACTTTTTCTTATTTGTTTTTTGGTTTAGTGTTTTAAATTGAATTTTTTATTTTGACGTGAAGTATAGATAATTGTGTTGATAATATAAAAAATAATATTATATATTGAAATTGCTGGACTAGTCCTAATTTGGAGCGTGAACTTGTTTATGTACTTTGAGAAGTCTACAACTTTAGATACGATAAGCACGCAACTGGTGGAAAAATATAATCAGATTATAAAATGATATGATTGAGCATCAATGGAAAAAATATGGAATAGTAACAATGAATACTCGATCTTTTTCAGCAAAAAATACTCGAGGATCAACGCAAAATGCTGGAGAAAATGCGGAAAGTAATACTTGAGCAACAACAACAAATGGTGGATAAAATGTTCGAGCAGATGGACTAAAGGTTCGAAGAGTTGGAGAATAAAATACAGCAGTTGCTGTGGAAAAAATACAAAGTTAGATAAATAGTTTTTTTTTTGCAAATTTAACATTTGATTGTAGATGGATACTTAAATACAATTTTACTCTATTCGCCTCAAATCAATTAATCAAAACTCTTTTATTTGTATTTCTTTCTTTAATAAATACAAATATTAAGGATTTTTTTTTTTTTTATCATTTTGAATTAAAATAATGATTGTAAATGAATACTTAATTAGAGTTTTACTCAATTCGCCTCAAATCAATTAATTAAAACTCTTTTATTTGTATTTCTTTATTTAATTAAAAAAAATATTAAGGATTTTTTTTTTTTGTCATTTTGAATTAAAATAAACACTATTCACCAATTTTTTCATAACAATAATGAGATTATTATTTTAAAATTTTGCAAATATTATAGAAAATTATATGTAATTTTCATTAAAATATTAAAATATTTATTTTTTAATATTTTGTATAGAGAAATAATATATTGTAAATGTTAAAAGAAGATTGGCCTATGAATCTACAATTAAGGAAATAAAGCACGAAATTACATGTATCAATCGCATCAATATGTATTTTTTAGTTCTCGAGAAAAAAAATTGTATGAAGTTTGAATTTTAAATAGTAAATTTTTTAAATTTAATTAGTTTGATGAATCATATCATATATATATATATGACAAGATATTATAATGGTTGCGTTTTCATAATTTTGAAATTTTATTTTATTTTTATAATATTAAGTTTAGATAATTAATAAAAGTTTGTTAGAATAATAAATAATTTAACATAATTCAAATTTATTAAGATAATAAATAACAAAAATATAGATAAAATTAGAGTTTTATACATCTATATATACTTAATTTTAATTATATAAATTGTTTGGTTTTAAAATTTTTTATTTTGATTTAAAAAATTGTATTCTTTTTATTTATACTAATATATTTTATTTGATTATTTGATACATAATAAACAGAAGAAATAATGATTATAAGAAAAATATAAAGATCATAAGAAGAATACTGAAAAATATATATTCGTTGACCGTCTGATCAAGTAGAAATTCTGAGAGAGCCTTCATTATTCGTTGTTTTTTTTAATCCAACGGTGAAATTTGCAATCAGGTGTTTGTAGTTCAACTACAATTTATAAAACATACAGATTTCTTTGGTTTGTTTTCTTAATTTTAATTTTTCTTAAATTTGTTATTTTGATTGGTTGATATAGTAGTAACTATGATGTATTTATGTGCATTTTGAAAAACTATTTGATTATAATAGATTTTGATTTTTAATACTATCATTTTTTTTTTTCATATTTTATTTGCAAATATAATGTGTTATCGTTCCTGTTCTTACTAAGGGATTGCGTTTTTCAATTTTTATATACGGTGAATTTTAACAATAAAATTTTTAATCAATTTTTATATACGGTGAATTTTAACAATAAAATTTTTAATTAATCTTTAAAATTTAAAACTCGATTCGCATAAAATAACTATCGTATTATATTAATTCTACTTTGTTATGTATTCTTTTTAGTTTCTATTAATTATTTCTAATATTCATATTGTGATGCAAAAAAAGTAATTAAAAAAAAAAATCAGAAGAAGCATAGAAAGAATACAATGTATGTAATTTTAATTTTTTATTGCATGTTTTTTACTAATTAATTTTATTTTATTTTTCATTTGTATATACATTTTTTTTAAAAAAAAAAATTGATTTGATTTTTACTATAATATTTTAATAGATCTTTCACTTTTAAGATTATCTTTAAAGTTTGAGTTTTTTTTTTTTTAGCAAGAATATTTGAAAAATTTATACAGAAAAATACTATAACTTTTAACATATAATTTTTTTTGTAGTAATTCTATTGTTATTGTATATATATTTTTTAATTATCTATTTTGTTATTCTAGTATAAATTATTTTTTTATTGTGTATATTATTTTTTAAATTGATTTAATTCGAGTAATATATTATATATATAAAACTATAAATATTATTTATTAAAAAATATTAAATTAAAATATAATTTAATATAAAAGTAACATATACATAGTACTAGTTATACACTACTATAATATATGCTTATACACTAATATAATATATGCTGAAATATGAATAAATATATATTATGAGATCAAAAGATATTTCATATTGAACAGAAATAGACCTATCTTAATACAAATTTAAAATGGAACCGATCAGTCCAATACAAAAAAAAATCAAATCGGCCCAAAATGACCAATTCTATCAAATACTCAAGCTTTTTCTTGCTTATTATTACCTCCGTTGCACATACCTGTCTGTTATATCGTAGACACAGTATTTTAAGAGGGGTATAATTAGTAGATAATTAAAAATATATTAGTGAAAATAATTATCCTATAATATAAATAATTATAAATTAAAATTAAGATAACTAATTAGTTTAATTAAAATTAAAAAATAAATAAATTAAAAAATTTAAAATGAGATTAAAGTGTATAATAATTTTCCAAAAAAAAAAATTAACATAGAATATGGAACAGACAGAAACGGCAACGTGGATATGATATATGAGATGGAGGAAGTATTATTTTAGTATTTTTTAAGTTAACCATATCAAAAATTCTAAAAATATCCAAATTATTTTAAGATAATGAGTAATTATATATATATATATAAATTAAATTAAATACTAACGTTTAATTATTTTAAAAAAATTCAAAACTTCTATCTAAACACAGCCCGGCTAGACGCAACCAACTATTATGCGTGACTCCATCCCGGCTCGGCTTTCTTCACTCGGCACTCTATCATCAAACTCCTAAGTTGTTCCACTTGCTCCCATTCCCCCTCTTCGGCGAACATATTCGACGCCATAACATAAGCTCCGGCGTCCGGTGGCCGGAGTTCTAGAACTTTCCGGGCCGCCAATTTTCCAATCTCCCGATTGCCGTGAACTCGACACGCGGCGAGTAGCGTTTCCCACGCGATCATATCGGGTTCGAAAGGCATGTTGCATATAAACCTCGCGGCTTCTTCTACTCTCCCCGCTCGACCCAAAAGATCGACCATACAAACATAATGCTTATGGCCTGGCTGAATCCTGTAATCCACGATCATCGAGTTCAGATGACGATACCCGGCGTCGACCAACCCGGCGTGGCTGCACGCGGAGAGCACAGCGAGAAACGTCTCGTCGTCGGGATTTATTCCCGATTTCGTCATAACGTCGAACGACGTTAGCGCCTCTGTCCCCTTCCCGTGATACGCGAAGCAATCGATCATCGCCGTCCAGCTCACCAAGTCGGGATTCGTAATTTGTTTGAATGCCTTAAGACAATCGTCGATCCTCCCGTTCTTCGAATACATCATCACAATCGAACTGCCGACGGCTGCATACGATTCTAGACTGATCTTAATGATGTGCGCATGTAAGGACATCCCGATCGGTGGCGCGCCCGATATTGCGACGGCACCGATTACGGATGAGATTGTAAATGGGTCAAGACTCGGCGTGGATATGAGCATGTCTTTTAATAACTTCAGCGCCTCGTCGACGCGGCCGTGGTGAGAAAATCCCGCGATTATAGACGACCTTGAAATTGGGTCCTTGACCGGCATCATCGTGAAAGCAACCGTCGCCGATCGAAGATCGCCACATTTCGCGTACATATTCACCGACGCTCCGTCGATCGTCGCCTCCCCGGCGAACCCTCGTCGGAGCGCCGCTCCGTGAACCTCTTTCCCGAGCTTCGACGAGCAAAGAACCGAACATGCGTTCATAACCGCGGCTAAAATCTTTGCGTCGATCGTCGGGTATTCAGGCACCATTTCCCTGAACAACATAACGGCATCGTTCGCACGGCCGTGTTCTGACAAACCGGAAATCATCGACGTCCATGAAACAACGTCCTTCTTCTCGAGTCGCCGGAAAGCGTTAAGAGACTCCGTCAAGTCGCCGCACTTCGAATACATGGTGAAGATCGAGCAACTGACCGAAACTTCCGAGAGAAAACCCGTTTTCACGATATGACCGTGTATCCGACGCCCCAACGATAAATTGTCGACAACGCTCAAGATACTCGACGCGACGAAGTGATCGATCGCGACGTTCTCTTCTAGCATCCGACGAAAGAAATCGACCGCCTTCTCGTAGCTTTTTCCGTCGTTGACGTACACGGAAAGCATGTTCGCCCAGATGCCGACTTCCTCCGTGTCTCGAAACTCCGCGAACACGAGTTCCGACATGTCGATAGCCCCCGCATTCGAGTACATTTTTATCAACGGCGCTCGAACGACGGAGTCTCGATAGAGTCCCATCTTCAAAACCCAGCCATGCAATTGCCGTACTTCTTCGAACATCGTCGGATCTCCGCAGGCTGCGATCACGGTCGAGACCGTGAACTTGTTCACTTCCTCTCCGGCTTTTCGCATGTCGCTAAGAACCCGAATCGCTGAACCCGGATCGCCATCGTGAATGAAACCGCGGATGATTGCCGCCCAAGCGCCGGAATTCCGAACTGGGATCGACTCGAACTCCTTAACGGCGCTACGTGTATCTCCCGATCGAGCATAGAAATCGACTATAGCCGTTCCAGCGAAAGCGTCGGCTTCTATACCGCGCTTGATCGCTTGTCCGTGGATGCTCTCGCCGTATTCGATCTCCTTCGCGCATACGGCCAAGATTCGAGAAATCGCGAACGCGTCAGGAGCGATTGAATCGTGACGGCACATCTCGTTGAACACCCGAAAAGCCGTTATACCGTCCCCGGATTTAACAGCGCCGGACAACGCAGCGTTCCAGCAAAAAATGTTCGCGAATTCAACGTCGTTCAATGCTTCAAAAGCTTCCTCCGCCGTGTATAAATTTATTACTCCGGCCGCAACGTACGGATTCGAACAAAGCCCGGTCTTTGTAACAATGCCGTGAACCTGTTCGCCGCCGTGCCGCAAAACTTTCTCTGAAGCGCAAGCCGAGAGGATGCCGGCGATGGCGTCAACGGTCGATCCGATCCCGTGCATTCGACGGAACGTTTTCCATGAATCGTCGTATCGAGAATTAGCGTTGCAGCTCAGAATCAACGAATTTGACGACAAAGAACTTTGCCTCGGCATTTCGTCGAACACCTTTAGTGCGTGGTCGATTTGGCCGCAATTCAAATAGCTTTGGATCAAATTGTCGGCGGCGGAAATGGCGGGATATAGGAGCCCTAGTTTGAGGAAGGAAGCGTGGGCTGATTGGAGTTGTGGGAAGGGTAAGGCTGTTAGATTTGTGGGGAGGATAATTGCGTCGAGCTGGTTGGGAATTCCGGCGGCGGCGGTGGTCCGGAGCGCCGCCGGAGAGCGGAGAAGCGCCGCCGTGGAGAGGAGGTTGTGGTGGTGGGAGAATTGGAGTTTGGTGTGATGGAAGAAGCGATTGATTGATGATGCCATTCATTTGGTTTGGGTGTTCTTCGTTTGCCGCCTGCACAAACTTTTAAAAATTAAAGTTTCGATGTCTCAAAAGTATTAAGACCATCCCAATTAATTAGAGACGTCAAAATGATTCGGGCTAATGGTTCGGGTTAGCCCGAACCCGTTCTTATTTCTCAGCGTTCGGGTCTACAAAATATATTTTGGCATGCGTTGTGAATTTTAATTTTTAAACTCGATCGAGTTTGAGGTGGATGACGAGTTTTATTGAAAATCCGTCCCACCCTAAATCTGGATCATAATTGAATATTTTAATAATTATTAAAATTAATAGATATATATATTTATAATTTAAATTATATTACATATTTAATTTAAAAAAATTAAATATAAACTAGAATTTTAATTCCTGAATTTTCTTCACAATCCGAACTATTGTCATTGGTCGCCCAAATCGAATTTGTCCATTTGGATCTAAACTTTTGCTTCGTCTGGGCTGTCCGCTGTCACTGCGAACCACAACCAATATTTTATTGTTATTTTTAAAATTAAATTTTTTTAGTGCTTTAGCGTTTTTTTTTTTAGTATTACATTATTAAAAACATTATATTTATTTTAAAAAACAAGTTTGCCGAAATGGCCCCAGAAGGTTCGAAGCCAGACGGGTCCTGAGATCAAACTGAAGCGGAGCGGAGACGGATTCTGAAGTCTAATATTTTACTATTTCAAAACTACAAAATTTTCTAAAAGTTTTTGTCTAAACAAAACAATTTTTTTGGAATTGTCTTTTATAAATTTTGTTTTATTTACCTTAATATATTTTTCTCGACACTAGAGAAAACTATTCAAATTTAAATTTTCACGTGCCCAATTCTAATTTGCTAGGAAAATTTTTTAGTTTTTCGGTAAAGAAAATAACAAAATCAATGCCTATGATCTTGTATATATGAAAAACTATCACTAAAAATAATACTTTCTTCGTACACAAACTAACGTTCTACTTTTCTATTTGAAATGTTCAACAATTATTGTCCTCTTTATATTTTTTATACACAAAATTTACTCTTTTATTCTTACTTTATTTATTCTTTCATTTTTTATACACAAGATTAAGGACAAATTTGTCATTTTATAACAAAAACCTTAATTACCTATAAATGTATGTAAATATCAAATAGGACATTAGAAAATAGACGGAGGGAGTATATTTTTATAAAAATCGTTTGAAATATTATTATAATGTGATACTACCTCCGTCCCACATATCGTGTTTGCTACACTGTAGACACGGTATTTTAGAAGGGGTGTAATTAGTACATAATTAAGAATGTAGTAGTGAAAATAATTATCCTATAATATAAATAATTATAAATTAAAATTAAAATAACTAATTAGTTTAATTAAAATTAAAAAAAATAAATTAAAAAGTTTAAAATGAGATTAAAGTCTGTAATCATTTCTAAAAAATGAAAGTGACATGGAATGTGGGATGGACAGAAACGGCAACATGGATATGACATGTGGGACGGAGGGAGTATTATTTTTGTTGTTATTGTTACGAATATTTAAATTGAATTTAGTAAAACATATTACAGTTAAAATGTATTCATTAAATTTTATTGTATGTATAAGTCAAGATGGCCGAGCGGTCTAAGGCGCCAGTTTCAGGTACTGGTCCGAAAGGGCGTGGGTTCAAATCCCACTCTTGACATTTTTTTTTTTTTTTTTTTTTTTTAAATTATGGTATTTGATTTGATTTCAATCTATTAAAATTTCACCAAATTTTATATCATAATTATTTGAATAGTGTGTGCTCATAAAAACTAATATAATAAAAACAAGTTAATTGGAGAGATAACATAAATTAGTTTATGAATTTGATTTAATTACTATCTATTAAAATTTGAAGAAATTTTGTTTGATAAGTTAAATAATTTGAGATTGTGTATAAAATTTGATATTCTCGTACTATTCAAAAAATATATTTTAATTTTGTCATTTTCATTTGTTAAAATATATTATATTCACTACACATTAATATTTTTAATAAATATACATTTATTTATATTAATACAATGACATCATATTAAAATACACTATTATACAAGTCTTTACACATAAAAAAAAACATGCCAAATATAATTTCAGTACAACATTTTTTAGAAAATTGATTTTCACTTAAACAAATAAGAGAATCGAGGAATTTATTGAAGCGGATATAGGATTTGGATTTGGGTTACGGGGCTCGGGCATGGGTTACGAGTCGGGCCAAAATATCAACATTCTTTACCCTTTTTGCCATAAAAGGTTGCCACCTAAAGATTCATCCAAGTTAAATAATCTTTTTCGTGAATGAAAATTATCTAGAAATTGATATCAATGGAAAGTAAATCTACACTTATAAAAAAAATACCCCCTCCGTCCACACACAAAGTAAACATTTACTTTTGGCGCGGTGTTTAAAAAATAATAGTATTTTAATTATAGTGGGTAGTTAAAAGTAGAAAAATGACATTTTTGTCCTTACTTTTTTGTATAAAGTAAGAGTATTTGTGAAAAAAAAAATGAAGTATTTAATTAAATGTTTACTTTGTAATTGGACGTCCTATGTGTACTTTTTAACTGGATAGAGGGAGTATTAAAAAACCTAACACTTAAGAGCAAACATAAATTCTGCATAAACTAATAGCTCATTATATAAAATGAAGTACTTAAATGTAAAATACAGACAAAATACAAATTTCACCTCAACAATAATCACAAAAATTATGCAAAATCACAAAAATTATTCATGTTTAGACATCACACAAAAACATAGCAAATATTGTCGATTAGGATCATATCGCATGTTTGATCACTCAAAATCACACAGACAAACATATACCACTAAAAAATTCAACGGCGATCACGTAACATTTAAATATATAGATTTGTTTGCATTATCACAAAGATTTACAAAATTGAATTTATACAAATTTTTTAAACAGTTTTGAATACACCTAGAAAAGATTCCACATAGCCTCCAAAATAAATAAGAACTTTCTAATACAAAATTCCATCGTTGAAAAAAAACTACTCTATCCATCCCATTGAAAGGTTACTATTTTTTATTTTCGACAGTCCCAAAACAAGATTACGATTTTCTTAATTTAGTAAATTGTACTACCTACTTAACATAATAAATATCATTTCAACTTACAATATATTACACAAATGTCATTACTTTTATATTATACCAAACTAATAGGGATATTTTTGTCTTTTTTACTACAATCCAATATAATACTAATATTAAAAAATCTACGTACAAAAAGTAAACGCCACCCTTCCAACGGGACGGAGGGAGTAATAAAATTCTACCATTGTTTTAAGAAGAAAAGAAGTAAAACCCTAAACCCTAAACTCCAAATGCACCCTTAGGGTCTGTTTGTTTGTGAGTTTTTTATTAAGATTTTACTATTCATTATTTTTTTAATAAAAAATATTAATATTTTATTTTTATATTATATTAAAAATTAATTTTATATTCAAAATATCATATCAAAAATCGATTAAAAATTTTACCATTGCAAACATCAAATCTAACTCCCAAACTCACAAATTACCGCATATTTACAATAGAAGTTCCAACACCAAAAAAATTCACAAATGACTACATATATTAATTTAGAATTTTCATAATATTCATTTAACGGTTTTTTTTTTTTTTTAATAAAGACATACTCGCTCGTTCCACTTAATTTTTTATTTTTTTTTTGGAAATATAATTATATACTTTAATCACATTTTAAAATTCATAATTTATAATTTTTTAAATTTTAATTAAACTATTTAATTATCTTAATATTAATCTAAAATTATTTTTTATTAAATTATAATTATTTTTACTAATACACTTCTTAATTACTCAACTGAAGGTGTGTTTGGTATAGAGAATTGACAGTAGAGAAATGCAAATGTTTCTATTTCTCTTGTTTGTTTGAGTAAGAGATATGGAACTTGAGAAATAAATCATTTCTATTTCTCTCCTATATTCACATGAATAGAGAGAAATGGCATTGCAGTATATATATTTTTATATTTTTTATTCTTTTTTGTACTATTTAATTTTTATAATTATTTATATTATATTATTTTAATTTTAAAAAAATTATATTTAATTTATTATTCAAGTATTTAATTTTATACAATTTTTTTTTTTAAAAAAATATATATTAAAATATGATTTTACAAAACTTCGTATATAATTTTTTTTTTAAAAAAAAAGTCAACAGAAATATTTTTTCATAAATTCTTACTCGCTAAAACTCTCTTTTATTAAATTAATTATTTATTTTTGTCCGATCCATTCATTTTCTTTTTACATAAATTCTCTATTCTATCAAATAAGAGAATTAATTCTCATTTTCTACTCAATTCCCATTTTTTCTAATTCTATTTTCTACTCTCATTTCTCTACAATTTCATTATTTACTTTGTGTCTAATTTAAACGGGACAAATTAGTCGACACATCAATATATCATGTCAAAATATACTTTTATAAAATATTAAATTAAATACAATTTTTTTTTTCTTATTTAAAAAAAAATTCAAAATTATAAACTTCCCGAAACTTAAGGAAGTAAATATTCGTGGGAGCATTCTAAATGGGGGTTTTATACGCACACCTGTGTACACAAACGTCGTTAAATTTGGTATGCCATTTCGGATGACGTGTCCTCTTAAATAAACCGGAAGACAGACAGCGCCAATACAGTAGTCGCATTTCTGATTAAGCGAATTTTAAAAACCCGCTTTTAGTTCAACTGGGACACGTGTATGTGTAGTCGACAGTAAGGGCCGTGTCACGTGTGGGCCCAAAGTTAAAAAAGAATATATACGTTGTGGGCTCAAATTGACAGGCAAAGCCCAATCATTAATCTCTTATCCAAACTCATTTATTGCCCTAACACGTGGCAGCTTCAGATCTCCACGTGGCCCCATGATTACGACTCAATCTTGAGTTAAATATGACAGATCATCAATACTCTGTACTTTCTTTCATTACGTTATACAAGTCTACTCGAGCTAATATATA